GGCTGTTTCAGGGGGAAAGAATCAGGGAAGACTTCTTGAGGAGCCAGTGTTTGACCTGGACCTTGAAGAACAGATGTTAGATGTGGCTGTGTTGAAATGGGGAGAGGCAGGAAGAATACGGGAAAAGCTCGAGAGCTGTAGAGCGCCTGCAGATGGGACCAGCCCCGATCACTGTCCCTGTGCACGGGCACAAGGCCTTTGTCCAAGGCTAAGCGAGACAGCCACATGCTCTCTCTCTGCCAGGAGGGTTGGTAAACATCTTAGTGCTTTTACAAGAACTACTGTACTAAAATGTCTCTGTTCGAAACAATTATTGTGTCCATCACACACCTTGAAGTAAATTAACCCATGAATACGCATCAGCTCTTAATATCCTCTTAAAAAGCAGACACTGAAGTTGTTGGGTCTGCTTTGCTACAAAAAGGCAAAAAAAAAAAAATTCTAGAGAAGCATTTCTGTCAGCTTGGAATGTGAGGAATAACAGCTGCTATTTATAAAACGCCTACTTTGTATCGGCCACCCTGCATACACAGTCTCTCATCACCCCTCACAGAAGTGCTGGAAAGTCACTCTTGCCGTCGCTGTTTTGCAGATGAAGAAACTGAGGCTCAGAGTGGTCCCATGATTGTTCAAGGTCATGATTATTCCAAGGTTGACAGAAGAGGCTGATCTGGAATTGCGATGTAGTCTGACGCCAAAACCCACCTTGTTCTCACTTTCTTGTGTGTGTACTGGACAGTGAAGGGTCCCATTCTAGATTCTTCTGTGTCCCTGGGTCCTCAGATCCTTCTGACTGTAGCTCTTTTTATCCTGTTCATTAGAACTCTTTCTGTCACCCCCTCACACTAACCCCTCGGCTACCCCTGATCTGGCTTCCTCATGTTTCCAATTCTGACCACGTGGCAAATCCCGAGGAAAGCAAAGGTACACTTGCCCCAGGCCCTCCCTGCTAGCCAGGAGTAGCTACCTCTTCTCGCGCATACCGAGGTACTGATGTCCATGCACACAGAACTGAAGCTCTACAGGCAGACACACTTGCATTTGAACCCTGGCTCTCCCACAGCCTGCCTAGGGGCTCTCCAAACACGTGGTCCAGGCTGGAGGCCCCCACCCCTTGAAGAACAGGGGTTGGTGAAAAGGATGCATATGACTTATGGGTATGTGGTCCTGGGTTCCACCCCTAGCCCTGCCACAACCTGGCTCTGGGATGTAGACGAGTCCTCAGACCTCAGTTTTAACATCTAAATAAATTCAACATAGCAGCATGTATTTTAAAGGGCTTGTCGGTATTACATGACCCTGGCACACGGTAGCTCCCAACAGGGAATTCTTTTCAATTTCTGCCCCTTTCTGGGCTGGTTCAGCTATGCTTCGTTTACCTCTTCATCTGCATGGCAAACGCAAGGTGCAGCTCTCACAGTGGAGCTCAGTGAGACAGGATAAATCTTGAACTTCACCCTGTCTCTGTATCTCAAAGTCTAGGGCAGAGATTGGCAAACTATGGCCCTCAGCACAAATGTGGCCCATTGATTTTTAAACATAAATTTTACTGGAATAAATCCATGCTAATTCATTTACATATTGTTTATGGCCACTTTGTATTATAGTGTCAGAGTGGAGTAGGTGCAATGGAGATAGTTTGAGCCTGCGAAGCCAAAAAATGTTTACTTGCATAAAAAGTTTGGGGTCTTCTGGTCTTGTGTATGAGATCTTTCAAGAGGGGGGACCTGTGAGGGTCTTTTTGTTTGAAAAAATATTTCCCCGGCTTCTCCCCCACCCACACTTTATATCTTTTTTCTCTGATTTATCTATTTTTCCCTTAGCTCTCTGGACTATCACATAACACCTATATTACTTACTTTCCTCATATATCTTTTTTATTTTCTGCCAACTCCACTATAAAGCTCCATGTGGGCAGGGATTTTTTGTTTGTTTTGCTCTTATATCCTGGAACCTTGGCCAGTGCCTGGCACATAAGTGGGCACCCCACAGATATTTGTTGAATGAATAAACACAGGTTTTATGAACAAACTTATTCAACCAAAGTGTGTTTGAGGCTTCCTCTTTCATGGACGACTTTGGGATTTACAGGGGGACCAGGTGGACTCCTGACCGCTGGGAGAAGAGTATTATCATTATTTTTTATTTTCTAGATGAGACAACTGAGGCTCTGGTTATGTAAGTGCTTCTCAAACTTGAACGTGCATGTGAGTTACTGGGGATCTTGCTACCATGCAGGTTCTGACTCAGGAAGTCCGAGCAGGGATCCCAGGTGCTCCTAGTAGCCCCGAGGTGATGTTAACTTTGCTGGTCCATGGCCCACACTCTGAGCAGAGAGAGACTGAAGCACCCACTCAAGGTGTATACCTGAGACTTGACGGAGTGGGGTTTTGAGTTTGGGGCTCATGGAGGTCATCATTCCCTCTTCTCTGTCTCCATGCATCTCTCAATCTTATGGTCTCACAAGACCTGTTGCTCTTCCACTCCAAGGCTGCTCCCTGTCCCCAAACACTGTGCCTTCAGACTGTCCCTTCTATAGCCACTCTGCTGCCAGCATCTTCTGCACAGGCTCCTCGACTTTACCTACACAGGTGCCCAGGACTGTCTGACCCTTCCAGTGGCTAATCTCTTGTTTTTCCACTGCTTTAGGGCCTAATGGTTAAAAATAAGTATTCTTCTTCATGGGCCCCAGACGGGTTGGCTTCCTTTCCCAACCTGACCCCATGACCTTTGCAAGAGACTACTGATGGCCAAGGTCAGGGCCATGCCCATGCCCTCCAAGCCTGTCTATCTACAGCAACTCTGCCAGTGTCCGTTTCTCCCCAGCAACGGCTCTCTCCTTGTGGTTCTTAGATCTCTCCTTCTGCTTCTCGGTCTGCTTTGCCAGGTCTTCCCTTCTTTTGGATATTTAACCACAGCCAGTTCTTGGGCTGGCATGAGTTTCCCATTCTAGGATCTATGACTTCAAGTCTGCAGCAATGGAAAGGCCTTTGGTTATGCATGTACCTTGAACTACAAGGACCTGTGTATCTGTCTCCTACACTCCCACACTGTTCACCTTTGAAGTTGTCTGGGTGCCCAGCACAATCAATGCATGATATAAAGTGGCCACCCAAAGGTATTCTATGTGCACTGGCTGAGAGACTGAAGGGGTGAGGTGCCCAGAGGCGGTGATGGGTCACTGCATGCCCACATCAACTCTGGAATGCCAAGGCCATGAAAAGCCCTAGAAGACCAAGGGGCTCCCAGGGGCCAATGTGAGTGTGCTACCCCTCATAGTTTCTGGAAGAGGAAAGAAAGAGAAGTAGCATTTCATGTTGGAAACTTTGTCATAAGCACTTCACTATGTCACCTCATTTCCTCTTCAAGGTAACTGTGAGGTAGGCCTATTGACCTTACTTCAGAACTAAGAGAAAAGATGCTCAAAGAGTTCAGAAAATTTGCTCAAGGTTGCACAACTGGTGAGTGATAGAGATGGATATGAACTCAGAGTTGCATGATTCCTGAAGCTCATTCTCGTTGCACCACAGCAACAACGTCCCATATGGTTTCATGCCTCTTTTCCTTTGCAGATGCTGTTCCCTCTGCTGGGAATTCTTATTTCTTCAGAACTGGCAAGGCCTGTCTCTAAAAACACTGATAACTATCCTCTTCCCTATTAAAAATGGAGTCACCCAGTTAAGTGCACTTATACTAACAGCCCATATAGACCCCTCTCAACCAACATTTCAAGTATTAGATTTTGTGCTGGTCTCTCAGGTAGGCTCAAGCACCTTTAGGGTGAGGCTCAAAGTCCTGGTCATCTCTCCAACCAGTGTCTGGAACAGAATGTGCATGTTCAATGCCTAGTGGTCAAATGAATGAAAGAGCAAATGAAGCAAGTTCTCTGGTACTTCCAGTGTTGGTGGTGGGGTTCCATTGATTTCTATATAACACAGGAGTAGTGGTATCCAAATGTTATCTGCTCCTTGCTTGGGCCTATTGACCTGTGGACTAAGAACTGATCAGAGGGGATGGAAGAAGCTTTGGCTAGCTCTGTCTGCATCTGTGAAGGCTTCAGCAGGTGATCACTGCCAGATGTGGCCTCTCTCACAAGGCTGGGTTTCCAGGGGTGGAGGACAACATGGGATGATGGGAAATATATTACACTTTACCAGGAGCCAGACATTCTGAATTTTAACCCCACACTCTTGAAGACTAAATGTGTGATTTCATATGCCTTTTTGGACCTCAGTTTTAAAGTGTGGAAAATGTATATTAAGAATATGAGACTGATTCAGTGGTTTTCTTACTTTACATTACCAAGGGTCTATTTATGGAGTTGTTCTCCTTTACTCTGTTTTGAAAATGTCTGGTTTAATTATGAGAAAAAGCATCATCTTTATTTAGAAAGTGCAATAAAAAGCTGACAGGCAATTAGCCAGCAAAATGCATCGATGGTATGAGATCACTAATGCTAACACCAAACGGAGATACTTCTAGCCCAAAGCAAAGACCCTGGATGCCACCTGTGAAGCTGTTTCTAGATAAAGTCATGATGCCCCATAGACTTCCTAAAATAGTGGAAACAGTCAATGGATCTCTTTCTAACCTTTAAGCCCCTATGGCTACCCATCCCCCAAGTAGACACATATGGACTCTGTAGTTGCTGAGATCTGAGGTTCTGTTTTATGTGTATAAGTCTTGCAGGAGGATTTGGTTGACCTCTTGCTGGAATATGGAGAATTTCTAACTAGAAATTATAATGACAGAGGAGAAACAGCCTTTCACATCTCCAAAAATAGGGGGGAAAATCTAAGGTGGCAGAAACATAATGGACACGAACAATGAGAGTGTATTTTCAAATGGAGGACATCTACACAAAATAAAAGCTGGGGCTACAGATAACTCAGACGGGAGTGAGTATGAGAAACCAACAGACACTTGGTTGGTGCAGGAAATGCATGCCACAGGTCCCCTTACAGGGCACGAAGCAAAGTTAACCCCGGGTCGATACTTACAAGTAATAGGAGTAGGAATAAGCATTTCTTCTATATATTGATGGGCAGTCAGATGAAGGAAATGTCCAAAAAGGGGGAAAAAGAAAAGACAAATAAACAAGAATTAGATTTATATGAAATCTTGATTGTTAGAAATGCACATAGTATTTCAGCATCCCTAAGCTCAAGGAGATGTGTATTTCTCTACTAAGTCATCTTTGCTGAGAATCAGGTACTTTCATTGGGAGAAAAAGTGAGAGACCTCTCCTATGATGGAGAAACTCACTAGTCACGCAGAGGAAGCCACATCTCATGCTGACTGTGTTAGCTGTTTGAAGGTTCTTTCTTAGGGTCAACTCAAACTAGCATCATTAATTATGACTTTTTGGTCTTGGGTCAAATATCTGTGGCCTTCCAGAGATAGTCTGTCACTCATCCACATGACAGTGCTCCTATGATCTAAGAAAAACCATAATGACTTCTGTCTTCTCTGTTACATCAGTCTCTATTTAGTAGGCAATGCCAGGGCAAGGGGATCATGTAGCCAGCATCCTCGATGGCCCCCAGTGATCCACTCTTGCCAGTAGCCATGCCTATGCGTAGGGTCCTCCCGTGCTGAACCAGGGCTGGCCCCATCTGGCCAACAGAATGGAATGGCAGTTACCTTTTGGGACTTTTTAGAATAGATCAAGAAGAAGTCTTGCAGCTCTGTCTGGGTCTTTGCAACTCTCACTTGGAACCCTGGGCGTCCCTGTATGAAGTCTAAGCATCCCAAAGTTGTCATGCTGGAGAGACCATGTGGAGAGGCTACAGAGAAAGGCCCTGAGGCTGCATGCAGACAAAGAGCTATCCAGCCAGTCCGCAGCTTATTTCTTAAGCCATTAAATTTCAGGGAGTAGTTGCTTACACATCAGTAGATAACCAGAGCAGAATTCAAACTCCATGAAAAAGCACAGCACTAACAGAGAGAAATTCCAGTCTTTAGTCTGAAGAGACTACAACTTGAATGAACTCTCTGTGCCTTCATTCCCTCATCTGATCCTCAGGTGAGTTGAGCTAGATCAGTGTTTTCCAAACTGTGTTTCCAGGAACCCAGGGGTTCCGCAGAACACTCTCACTGTAATGGGGGAGGGCTGCAGGTCTTCCACTTTGATCTCTGCCAAATCCAGAGATCATTGTTTTATCTATTTTATAAGTTAGAGGTTCATTTAGGTATTCAGATGAATAAGAATTAAAAAAAAGCAATGCCTGTAATCTCCTTCTGATATCCCTTCTAGCTCCTGGCTTCTGAACAAGAACTCAAATAAGTCCATAATATTCCCTTTGTTAAACTTCATATTTTGTAAGTGAGGAAAGTAAGCGAGTATGCTTTTATTTGGCAGACTTAGACTGACAATAACTGTTAAATTTGCAGATAGAGAAAAACTGCTGAATAATTCAGGCTCTCAAACATCCGTCTGAGTAGGCAACAATGGTTTTCTTCCCTCTTGAGTTATCTGGTCAATTGCAAATATCATCCCATTTGTCTGGCACCAGAAGATACAGTCTTTCTATCTGCAAAGTGGGGACATGTCCTCAGGGCCTCATATTTCCCCTCTCAGGTAGGATATGGCCAAAGATCCCCACTCAGGGCCACTTCTGGGCTTTCTCTCACTTATCCACGAGAGCCCAGCTTTATAGCTGTAGAAGGAAAATGACTCAAAGCCAAGAAGCCGTGGCAGAAGGGAAGCCCTGTGCCTCCTTGGGATGCTGAGCTGGGGAAAATGAATCACAGCGAAGCAAGATCTTGTCACTCATAAAACCGGTCAATGAACAGAGGCCCTGGATGAGGGTGAAAGGGGTGAAGAATTCCCAACTGTGATGGGTGGGGATTGGGAGAGTCCTTGCAAGTCATCAAATCTCCTTCACCGACCCCACAGGTTGGCACTGTAAGACCCTCCTTCTTCTTCATTGCTGGCTCTGTGGTCCAGTGCCTGGAAATGGGATTCTTCAAGAGCAGAAAACCCGTGATCCATTTAATGAAGACTAACAGACACCTGTGTTCTCCATATTGTCAAGGACACTGGGCTGAGCATTGAGAGGCCAGGGTTCTGAGCAAGTTCACTTGCTCACTGTGACATTGTGGGCAAGCTGATTCATTCTCCTGGACCTCTGTTTTCTGACCCACGTACAGGCAAGTGGCACGGATAACTACCAGCTTCAACAGCCTTGAGGAGTGGAGATGTGATGTGCCCTAGCATCCCAGTACCACCACTTGCTACCCGATGACCTTGAGCAAGTCACTAAAGAGTTCTGCATCTTAGTTTCCCCATCTCAAGCTTAGGGACAATAATGACCTATTTCTGAGAGTCATTGTGGGCATTAACATTAGATCAAATTGCTCTAAATTACATTCACATTATGGATGACTTATAAAGTATTATGAGTATAAGTTGTATTAATCTCAAGTAACATTAGGTGATATTAATCTAAATACCTAAAATATAGTAGGGCTCAATAAAGAGGATTTTATGCCTCCACCTTATCCACAAACACGAGGTTTGCTGTTTCTCACTCTGGTGACCAAAAACAAAATGTGCATTTCTTTAGGAATGTTAAAATAGTAATAAAATAGAAATAAATATTTATGTAGCACTACTACATAGTCAGGCATTGTTTTCTGCTATTACCATGCATTAACTTATGTATTCCTCACAACCAGCCTGACATATAAGTATTATCATCACCCCCAGTTTACAGATGAGGAAACTGAGGCAAAGAAGGTTAAATATCTTGCCTAAGACCACTCAGTAACTGGATTTGATGGGAACATGGCTGCAAACTCATGTTCTTGACCACTGGCCTGCGCTGCCTTTGGGAAAGGAAGGAAACAGACGTGTGCTCAACAATACAGTGGGTCAGGCATTGAGATGCCACATATTTATCTCTCTTAGTCCCACACACAACCCATGGAGCTGTACTCATTTTTATCTGAGGGATCTCAGGCTCTGAGAGGTCACTGCACCAGGTCTACAGCTCTGTGATTTTTGGACCCATTGCCAAACCTCCATCCTGAGCCAGGCTTTCATCACTGTCAGCAGCCCCAGCTGCACCCAACATTCTGGACCCTCTGGCTGTATGTTGTCAGTCTTCAGGATCCACCTCTGCCTGGGCTGCCTCCTCGTGACAGCATGCCTCCTGAACCTTCCAATCACCACTTCCAAGTGGCTCTTCTGAGTTACCCTGTTTGGTACCAAAAGCCAGTGCTGTCCTGACCCAGCTTTAAGGCGACTCAGAAGGTCGACAACTGACAAGCTTTTATTAATTGAGTACCTTTTCCCAATTAAATTGCAAGGCCTTCCGGGCCAAGGATTAAAGTTCTTTTTTTCTGTGGCTCAAACACAGAATACATATGTGTTTTCTCTAAGGCCTGAAGGAGACTTACTGAAGGTCTAAATTTATAAGGATACAGTGATATTGCGAGAAATAGCCTGAGACCAAACATCCTGAGCAGGAAGATAGCTGTGCTTAGGAAACAAAAACACCACCCCCCCAAATGTAATAAATCACATACTGCAAAATCTTCTCTTCAGCTGGCTTGTAAGACAGACTTGAGACACAGATTCCCTTTTTTGTTTCATACCATTTAAACAAGACTAAGTTGTCTATTTATCCAATTGACCATCTACCAATCTATCTGGTATGTAAAGCCATCCATCTGTCTGCCCATCTGTCTGTCCATTCATCCATCTGTCCATCCAACCCTTCCTCTCTCCCTCCTTCCATCCAAACATCTATTTATCTGCCCACTAAACAATCTATCCATCTGCCTGTCCATCTAGCCCACACACCCCCACACTCATCTACATGGAGATACTCATCCTGTGTGTCTCCATGTAGCCCCGATTCTGTATAGTCTCACTTGAAAAGAAGCCCAGTCCAAACAGTCAAAGGTACGACAAAAAGAATTCTAAACTTTAATGTGCACCTTTTGTAAACTGTAAGGGAATCCTGTTTGACTCACCCACCATCTCATATCCCTTTCTGCAACCTTTCCTCTCTCAAGATCCCCTCCACCCATTATAAAACAACCAACCAACAACTCCCTCTCTCCTCTCCTCTCTTTTTCCCCTTTTGTTTTGAAGGTAAATTGATTCAGCTTCTTTCATTAAGGCCTTCCTTTGGTCTTCTGTACCTCTGACTGCTTTCTAGTTCAGTATCACAAAACAACAACAGCAACAGCAAGAGGAAAACTCTCTTTGGAGAGTGACAAAGAAACCCAATGAGGATGAACACTTCATAGGAAAAAGCTAGAGGCATCTTATGCATCCTGGAAACATGTGGACGCAGCTACAGTGAAGACTTAGAACCAGTTAGGTCCACTAGGAGCAGGGAAAACAGGCGGCACCATGCCCGTGTCTGCAGAGGTCAGGGAGAAGCCTCAGATCAGGCTGGCGCAGGGGGTGCGCCAGGTATTCGACTTCTGAGAGCTCCTGGACCCAGAACTGTGGATCGTGATGGTACTGAAGAGGTGCTAATATAGAATCCTGAGCTGTGATAATTTGCCTATTATTTGGGCATTTCTTTTCCTTTCATAACACTTCCTTTAGGGAGCTGTGGACAGTGCTCTGGCCAGCAGTAAGTTGGTGACAGACGCAATCAACCAATGAAGTTTCCCCCATAAGAGGCAAAGGAGGCCACCACCAAGCCCTTCACCTGCCTTTGGGCATCTCTAGACATGAGAAGACAGAGTGCAGGCCTAGGCTTAATTTCTCTGTTTTCCCTATTTAGCTTTCTCCTCTCCTCTCTTTCTGTGTCTTTTGTCTATACCCATCTGTACATTATTATCGACTAGTTTAGCAAAATGTTGTATTTTCTCCAAAAGATACTGTTTACGTAAACACTGATTAGCAAATTCCCGACCTCTCTGCCCACTGTGCAGCCCCTGGGACGTGCCTCTCGGGGAGACGTGGTGATCACGTGACACCTGTTGGTTGGGTCTGCTGGATGATTCCGACAGAGGTGAGAGGTGAAGATGCCCAGAAGAGGTTAAAAGCACACGACTCCCTCTGCACTTGCTTCCATCCTTGAGACAGAAAGCCCTTTCCTCCCTCCCGACCAGTCACACATTTCAGAAATAGCTGTTGAGAAGGAAGTGAAATTTCTCCGCAAGCTCACAAACGATGGTGACATGGGTTAAGCCAGGCTTTAGAAAGAGCAAAATTGGAAGAGCATATCTGACTTACAAATCAGTGGCAAAGAATGAGAACACTGCAGGTCTATCAAATAGGGATGCAGTTCTATCAGACTGGTTTCTTTTTTCAGGTAGACAATCCCAGACTCACCTCTGCCTCCAAGTGCCCATGATTCTGAGACACATGACAATGATCTCATACATGCAAAGTGCTTACTGCCCCCAGAGAAATCAAGACCCCCTATTCGACCTCATCTAAGAGCAGCTGACTTGTCACTGAGACATTCCATGTGGCCACATTTTATGGGAGATGGTGATAATATGACAATGCAGTGCTGTTCGTAACCCTTTGGGGGCTCTTGCTCCCCAACAGTAACATAGTGCCTTCCCTTCCCTATAACCTCTCTAGCCACAAAATCAGAAGCTAGAGGAGAACTTGAACTCTTTAGTCATTCTTCTTGGGAGCCTGAGGAAGAGAGTGGACCTGTTTGACCAAAGGTTTCAAGGAAGGACAAGGTCCTATCAATAAGACGTCCTGGCCGTAGAGGGCACTGGTTGACTCAGAACAGACCATCAGAGACACAGGGACATCCTGGAGGCAAAGTGGCTAAGAGACAGCTGCCAGTGTGTGTAGTGGGAACCACAGTATATTTCTGGCTCACTGATGGCTGAAAATGGGACATGATTATTCTTTTTGTTTAACTTTCTGCATTTATATATTCACATGACCCGTTATGTAGAAGCTGGGCATTGTCTTTGGGGCATTCTGTCCCTTTGTTTTGGTGGGGAACAAATTTCAGGAGCACTCTTCAATTCTATAAGTAGAAGCAAGTCCCAGGTCCTTGCTGCTGGCCTCGCCCTGGACTCTGAGGAACCAAACTCAGAGCTTCAGATGGAGGTGTAAGCAGTTTGTTTAATATCATAAAAGTCTCTTTAAGTGTGTGGGGGGGCAGGGCACATTGCAGCACATATTATTAAAATGTAGATCCATGTTTTTGCTCTGGCAGACTTGGGGAGTGGAAGCCAAGGTTGGAACCATGGTGTTGAAACTGAGAAGATGTGAGGTGACCAGTAGGCGTGGAAACCTGGTGCCAGGCTGGGGGCTAAGCAGAGGTGGGTAGGGGGACCCTCTGTTTAGGGGAAAAACCAGTGCACAGTAGGGACAGCGATGGTTGACATTCATCAGCTTTCCCTCTCTGCAACTCCCCTATGTTATCCTCAAGCCTTCGGAGTGTCTGATAAACAGAAGATAGGAGTGTAGTGAATCTCGGGGTTCAGGGAGGAATCTGTACCCTGGTTTCATGACCATACAGTTTAGAGGAAACATGCCACATGAGAAAACGGGGTTAGGTGACCAGAACTGCCCAAGGAGACATCCTGTAGAGGGTGGCCGGCAGCACCGATCCAGCTGGGAAGGTGTTATGGGACACAGAGTAGGGAGGCTCTTCCTCTGGAGACCACGGCACCATTGGAAGCATTCTCCCTGCCACACAGCAGGCGGCCAGGACTGCTGCTACTGGACCAAAGGGAAGTCAGGGCTGAGAGGAGACGAGAAGGCTGAAGCATTACTTTCCCGCATCTGTATTTCTGGGCTCACCTGTGCCCCTGGGGCTCCCTGGTTATCTTGGTGAGGTGACGCATCACAACAGAACAGTTAAATCAGAGAAGACTCACTTCATGACACAAAGCACCCCAGGGCACAGCCAGGTGGCTAAAGCAGAGGGATCACTAGCACATAAGAAACTGACCATCTCAGGGCCACCCGCCAAGCAGGTGGCATGTGTCCTGCAGTCACCAACACAATGAACCACAGCTGGCCCACGTATTCCAGGACCCTGACAATCACAGCAGTAGGTCCTTGCCCGAAAGAGAACAACACAGCAACGACCTGGCCACACGTCAGTGTGGGGGCCCTGGAGTCACCGCAGGCGGCAGGGCAGCGACCCGGACTCACCTCCTTTTGATGGTGAGCATCACGCCCAAGAGGATGATGATGAACATGAGGAGGCCAGCGATCACTCCAGCCATCTTCACGGTGTTGTCCACCTGCTTCTCTGGCTCCACGGTGTTAGAATTCTGTGTGGAGGCACCTTGGAGAAGAAAGGAGGTGGAGGAAGATGTTGAAAAGGCTCCTGCATGTGGCTAGACAATAATAATGGTAATGAGAACAGCTTATATTTATTGAGAGCTAACTATGTGCCAGGCACTGTGCTAAGGGTATCACACACATTGTCCCAGTTTTTAACCTTCTGAGGATGATTAAGCCTTCATGAGGCTGGGATTATTCTTATGTCCTTTTTGTTTGTTTGTTTGTTTGTTTGCAAATGTGTAAAGGGAGACTCAGGGCAATTGAGTCCCCCAAGGTTACACAACCGCTGTGCTGGGACACCCGATCAGTCGCCCTTGTCCTCAGTTGGAGGATTTTGTCCCTTACTCTGCTTTACCTTCAGGATCAAACCATGGAATTACAGTTCGATTCTTGGGTTCATGAAATTATTCCAAACCCTACTTCATCCTTTCAGATAAATGGTGAAAACAACAGCTTTATGTTAAGGTAACAGAACTAAAATCATTGGATTTACAAAGGTAAAAACGAAGGTTTTGTTTTGTGTCTTATATGAACAAAATGGTGGGGTAGAAATTCAGTGTTGTAAAGGGAACTGCCTTCCATTAAAAAAAACACTTACATCTGACTGACTCCAGTTTTGGGGTTTGATGCTGATGCTACAAACATACTCTGCCAGATGCTAGCTCGCTGACTCGAGTCCAGGGAGCCGAGCAGCAGTTCCGTCCTCTGCCCTGTGCCGGGACGTTTCATGGACCCACTTTGCTCAGTCCTCACACACACTCTAAAAAGCAGAAACGAGCTTCCCGTTTTGCAGGTGAGAAAGCCAAGGGAACTTGCTGAAGGTCACAAGGCCACTAAAGGTCAGAGTCAAGATTCCACAGGTGTTCTGACCCTCAGTCTAGGCATCAGTAGTCAGAAACCTTATGTTCAACTTTCGGGTCCCCTGGTCCCTCAATCTCCTATCCCAAAGCGATGATTTGCTAATGCCATAGGAACAGCAAGCAGACGAAGAGTGCCTGAGCTCCGCCTGTTTATGCATCATACCAGGGAGCAGAGGCAGCTGCTCGCTCCGGACACCTGTGCGAACACTGCCGGGGAGTGTCCAGCACCCCGAGTCAGTTCCTCCTGCTGCTCTTCCTATTCCCAGCGGTGCCTGCTTAACTCCACAGAATCGTCTTCCTGACCCGTCCCTACTTTCCTGCTACGTCAGCACCAGCTCATCCTTCATCAGTGACAACATCTTCTCTGGTTGCCTGTGCTCCTGGGGCCATCCCTCTCCTTTCTCTCAGCCTGACAACTCTCTGTTTCACTTTGCACACACCTTAATGAACCAATATTATTAGTTATTTAGTTATTATTATTTGTTTCCCTATCTGTCGCCAGAGTTGATTTGCAAACTCTTCGGGGGTGAGGTTATGCCTCCTTTATCTTTACTTCCTCATGTTAGCCCAGAGCCTGGCTCATAATATGTGTTCCCTCAATGTTTGCATTGTTCAGTGTTTTGCTGAAGGGATGACATCGCTGCCCACACACATTTGTTCTCATGGAACCAAATTGAGTTTCTCCTTTTCCAGCCATGTGTTCACAGAATTCAGCTGCATTGAAGGGACATTAATGCCCATAAGCTATGATTCTGATTCCCCCAAACTCACTGATGGTTCAGAATAGCCCTCGGGCACAATGATGTATCCCCTCTTCTTCCTTCAGAGCGTCGGTGTTTATTTCATCAGAGCGCTTGCCCCAGACACTCCTGTAACTTAGACAAGCCGGGATTACTCAGTCAAGTCTCCCTGGTGAGAACAGCAAGCCTTCAAGAGCAGAGAGTGAGTCCTAGATACTCCTCTAATGCCAGTGTCTAGCCCAGGCCTCCATCCTCCTAATTGTTGGTTAACAGATGATTACTGATGGCATAAAGGCAGCTGAACCACAGTTATTTGCTTCATTCACTAATTTGCTCCTTAGCACCCAGAGGCCGAGTGCCAAACTATGCTGTCAGTGGGGTCAGAGAGTCTTCTTTTGGAAGGACTTACGGATGGGGGATTTTATCCAGTTCCCCTCACCCACTAAAGGCAAAAACCAGGGCATCAAATCCCAAGACCATTTGCCCATGCTCTACTTATCTGGAGCCCAGAGAATTCCTGAGGGAATTAGCCAACCACTTCTTTGGTAGGGCTGGGCTCATGTTCCAGAGTTGGGGCTGGTTCCCAGTAGTCCCCCTGCAGCTCCCCTTTTCCAGTTTGGACATGAGGTTTCTGAGATATGTCTAGTCCCTGAGACATGACAGGACATGACAGAACATGAAGGAGGCTGAGCACCTCAGACCACAGTTTCCTTAACACGGTCAGGGTCTTTGCATTTGGAATTGAAGGAAGTGTTAGCTCTGTAGCATTCACTCACTGGCATAGTGGAACTTTACTTAGTGCCGGCTATGAGGTTCTGTTCTAGAGACTAGGGGTACAGAGGGAAAAGAGCCCTGGAGAGGATCCGAATTCCCCAGGAACACTGTTATTGGCTTGGTCTAATGCGATTCATTCCTTCAGTGAATAATCACCAGCACCCGCTATATTCCAGGCACTTGGTGATAGAGTGGGGGGCAAAACAGACAGAGTTCCTGCCCTCAAAGAGCCCACAGTGAGTGTTGGGTGGGGCTCAGGAGATAGGATTAATGAAGCAAGAATCAATAATAATAAGCTTTCAATTCTATTAAGGAGTAGAAGGAAGAGACACATGCTGCTTGGGAAGTTATAGTGGGGAAATGAATAACTTTTGGGAGGAAGTGGCCAGTGGGGTGCGCTCCAAGGGAGGACAGGCTGTAACTGAAGGAAGAGAGAGAAGGTCACATGGGAGCAGCAGAAGAAACAGCACTGGCCAAGGCTGTGCCATGGGGCCAGGGGCCCAGTGTATTTGGAAAATGAAAGACACATAGTGGAATGAGGGTGAGAGAGGAGCTGGAGAGGGCAACACTGGCCAGTCCACACGGGACAGTATAGGCTGCAATGAGTGTTTTTGTTCTTTGTCCCAAGAAACATAGAAACCACTGAGTGTTATCCACGGGGCAATGTTGTGGTGTGATCAGTATTTCCAACACATCATTCCAGCTTCACTGTGAAGCCGAAGTGGACTGGGGAGATGGATTTTGCAGGCATGTGGGTGGGAGATGATAGCAGCTGCGCTCAGGTAATGGCAGTGGGGACAGAAAGATGCAGTAAGAGAGATAAATGACCTGAACTAGATATAAATAAAACCTGTTGATGGACTGGACATGGGAATAAGGGAGAGAGAACTGTCGAAGAGGATCACAGCTCTTTGGTTTTCCTAACAAAGTGGATGACGGTGCTGTTTATGGGTTCAAGAAACAATTGAAAAAGAATAGCTTTAGAGGAAAAATGTGTGTGTTTGGGGCAATTTGAGCTCGAGAGATACTCTAGAAAAGTAGGAGCTCTAAAAGGAGGTCTGAGCTAGAGGCAAAAATGTGTGAATCATATCTATGAAGATGGTACTTGAAGCTGGGGGTTGATGAAGTCACCGGGAGCATAAAGAATGAAAGGAGATCAGGCTTAGATAGAGACTTGAGGGCCTGTGGCATAGGAGGCAGAGGAGAAATGGCCTGGAAGGTAGGAAAAACAACTGGGAGAGTATTGTGTCCCAGAGCCAATAGAAAAGAGTTCCGAGAAGGAAGGAGAAATCAACTGTGTCAAATACTACTTCTAGGATAGAATCAAGCTCCATATCCAGAGTAAGTGGAGATCTTGGATGAGTATTTGAAAACCTTTCCCCAATAAATCCTAAGATGTTCCTGAACAGAAGCACCTTCAGCAGTGATCGTGAACCAGCAATGGGACACATTTGAGGGTCACAGAGGAGCATCCAAGACATTCAGAGAGGTCATCCCAAAGTCAACAGCCCAGTGGTCTGGACAAATTCAATGAGTTTAGCCAGCAGGCATCAGAGCTGATGTCACAGACTCTACACAGCAAAGTTATTATGAGGAGCCAAGCTTGGCTGGCCAGCTAGGCTCCAGGTACAAGGTCGTGAGCATTCGCTAGGACGTGGCACATCCAACTTCTGCTTCAGCATCTCCTTAAGGGCATTTGCTCCAGCTGCTGGGGGTTTGTGCCTTGGTCCTAAAGGAAGTGTGCCAACAGGGTTCAAAGGGGATACAGGTATAGAGGCAATAGCTCTGGGATCAAAGGCCAGGCAGGGTTCCCATGTGGCTCCTATACCAGAGAGGAAATAAGGGGACAGGGGTAGAGGATAAGCCAGTCCCAGTCATGCTGCAGTCAGCAAAGTGTCCACAGGGCTCACGTCATAAATGCCCCAGGGACAGATGAGCACCTGTGCTAGGACTGAGGGAAGCACATGAGGTCGGCTAATGATGGGGACTCCCGGTGATGTGATCGGCTGTCTCAGGCAGGCACCGAGCTTCTCATCAAACAGACACTCAATTGCTGCTTTCTAAAAATCTAGCTTAAGAGTACTGATCCATTACTGGGGGCCGAGCAACGTGCTAAGCACTTTTATATAATATGTCATTTAATCTTTATAAAACTTGACTCAGAAGGAGCTTGAATTAGCTCCTTTTTCTTTTACATACATCAAAAGTGTTCACAAAACAGTGAAGTAACTTGTCCCAGGCATCTAGCCAGTGAGTTTCAGAGCTGGGCTTCTGTGTGCAGGACTCATCCCCTCAGCACTGTGATGGAGATGTAGTTAAGGAAATGCCAGCCCTGAGCTCACACAGAAGGTCAGCCATCTGACTCACTGGCCTGAAATCCGAGGGAACTCTCCAGAGAGGCAGAATCGGAAACCGTTCGGTAACATGGAAGCTGCATTCCTTTTGCCCTAAGCCCACCCTTTTCATGACAGTCAGTCAAACTTAGCACCAGTCCTCAGTCCCTACGAAGCTCTGTCCCCAGCCCTGGGTGACTTCTGTCTACTAAGCAGGAACTGGGAGTCTCAGATCTGAGAGAAGGCAGGGCCTCTGGGCCCTCCACTGGGAGCCAACCTGAGAACAGTCCGAGT